TAGAAGCTAGGGGAGGTTACAGAGATAGGGAGGAGTGTCGGAGCTGGAGGAGGTTACAGAGATAGGATGGTTTGGTGGGGGGAGGGGGAACAGATGACCTCAGAAGGATTTGATATGGAGAGTGGGTGCTTAGAAAACGATGGCCCTGCCAATCTGGAAGTCAATCAAGATACAATGGTAGCAGTCATTAGTGAATAGGACTTGGTGTGAGTTAGAATGGGGTGATAGGGTGTCTAGAATAGGTTGGGCAAGAATGGAGTAAGGCAGGGCTAGAATGGGCTGAGGGGGCTAGAATGGGGTGAGGGGGATAGAATGGGGTGAGGGGGATAGAATGGGACAAGGGAATAGAATGGGACAAGGGGGCAGCAGTGCAGCTGAGGTTGGGGGAGGGAGGCAGTGATGTGGGTGGGGGTATACTCATTCTGGGCTGGTTGCCCACTCTGACCAGCTTACTAATGGTGCCATTCCTCACAGGTGATGTGACCATCATGGTAGTGCTATGCCCACTTGACGTTCTGTCACTGGTCGTGTTCTGTGTCACTTTCAGCCTGGCAGCTCCCTCCAATGCAGTGGCACTCTGTGTGTTCATCAGAGAACTGAGACGCAAACCAACACCAAATGTCATCTACATGATCAACCTCAGCATCTCTGATGGAATCTTCACTGTGCTTCTGCTACTCAAAATGGTGGAGACAGTGTGGGGCCAGTGGGCACTGCCAGAGGTCTTTTGCCCCATCTACAATGCCCTCTACCTGGGCATCATCTACACCAGCATCCTCTTCCTCACCGTGCTGGCCATGGGCCGGTATCTGAGTGTCGCCTTCCCCATCCGTTATGCGGCATACAAGAGCCCCCACTACTCCCAAGTCATCTGCGTCATTCTGTGGCTCACCGCGGCAGCTCACATCTACCTCATCTTCCTAATGGAGAACAGGGACCTGCAAGACACCAAGATCTGCTGTGCCAACAATGCATCAATCAGCTGTGCCAATAACATCTCAAGCAGCAGTGCCAACAATGCTTCAATCTGCTGTGCCAACAATACACTGATCTGTTGTGCAACCAACACCTCAACCAGCTGTGCCAACATTGTTCCAAACTGCTGTACCAACAATGCATTGATCAGCTGTGCCAACAATGCCTCAGTGGCCTGTGCCAATCTCTCCCAGAGCCAGGTGGACACCATGCTGAGGCTGGAGCCGACTGTGGTTCTGTTCCTGGTGCCGTTGGTGCTCACCTGCCTTGCCTACCTCGGCTGCTTCCGCAAGCTGCGCCGGAGCGGCCTGCCAAGTCGGGAGAAGCACAGGGCCCTGCGGGCAACAGCTGCCACTTTGGCAGTATTCGTGGCCTGCTACACACCCTTCAATGCTGCCCAGCTGGTGGGCTCCACCTTTGGAGTCAGCATGAGTTGGCGGAGGGAGGCCCTGCTCGCTGCTGCCCCCAGTGCCTTCCTCAACCCCCTCGTTGTCTTCTGCTCCTCCTCGGCACTCCAGTGGAGCGCTGCTGAGGGTTGGCGGGCTGTGGCAGGGCATCTCAGGGATGGCTGGCTGCGCCTCTGGCATGGGGCGATCCCACGGAGAAAGGAGGCAAACGGAGACCTAATGCGAGCACCGGTTCCAGTTCAATGAGGACCGTTGTCCGTACGATGGTGGACTGAGGTGCTCAGGTACCCGATTCATGCACAGGAAGACTCCAGTTGGATACCAACTGCCTTAAAAATGCTAAATGTCATCGATTATTGGACTCGCTCTGGAATTCCTGGCCATGGCAGATGAAGGAATTTGAATTCAATTAAAAATCTGGAATTCAGAGTCTAATGATGACCATCGGTCAATTGTTGGAAAAACCCATCTGGTTCATTAATGTCATTTAGGGAAGGAAACTGCCATGCTTACCTGGTCTGACCTACATGTGACTCCAGACCCACAGCAATGTGGCTGACTCTTAACTGCCCTCTGGGCAATTAGGGATGGATGATAAGTGCTGGCCTAGCAAGTGACACTCTCATCCTGTGAATGATTTTTTTTAAAAATCTCACAGGGCCGTTTCTGGAGCAGGAAAATTCTGTTTCCCAAGTGTTTTTCACCAGGACCGGACATCCCAAAGCTGCACAGACAATGAAGGAGCTTTAGTGAATTCAGATATCAGATTTTTCAAAGGCAGCGGCCAATGAGAGCACAGAAAGCTCCCACGGACAGCAATGAGACAAAGACTTGAATCAGAAATAATAAGAACTGCAGATGCTGGAGTCAGTCTAACACAGTGTAGAGTTGGAGGAACACAGCAGGCCAGGCAGCATCAGCAGAGCAGGAAAGCTGATGTTTCAGGTCGGGACCTTTCTTCTGAGGAAAGGTCCTGACCCGAAATGTCAACTTTCCTGCTCCTCTGATGTTGTCTGGCCTGCTGTGTTCATCCAGCTCCACAAAGAATTGAATCATCTCTTTTCTTTCAGTGATGTTGATGATGGATAACAATCGGCCCCCAGGGAAATTTCATTCTTCCACATCGTGACCATGGGACCTTTCACATCCACTCCAGGCGGCAGACTTCTCCAAAAGACAGTACCTACAATAGTGCAGCACTCCTTCAGTACTGAATGTCCAACTGTGCGGCGCTCCCTCAGCACTGACCCTCCGACAGTGCCCGCTCTCTCAGCACTGACCCTTCGACAGCGCCTGCTCCCTCAGTACTGACCCTCCGACAGCGCCCGCTCTCTCAGCACTGACCCTTCGACAGCGCCCGCTCTCTCAGCACTGACCCTTCGACAGCGCCCGCTCTCTCAGCACTGACCCTTCGACAGCGCCCGCTCTCTCAGGACTGACCCTTCGACAGCGCCCGCTCTCCCAGCACTGACCCTCCGACAGTGCGGCGCTCCCCCAGCACTGACCATCCGACAGTGCAGTGCTCCCCCAGCATTGACCCTCCGACAGTGCAGTGCTCCCCCAGCATTGACCCTCTGACAGTGCAGTGCTCCCCCAGCATTGACCCTCCGTCAATGCAGTGCTCCCTCAGTACCGATACTCTGACAATGAAACACTCCTTCAACACTAACCTTCTAACAGTGCAGCACTCCCTCAGTAATGACCCTCTGACAGTGCGGCACACCGTCAATACTGACCCTCTGACAATGCAGCAGTCCCTCATTTTCCACACTGCAATTGTCAGCCTGGGTTGATGTGTTAAAGTCTCGTGAGTTGCGACTGAAACTCAAAATCTTCTTATTTAGGAACATGTGTATAACCCACTGAAACCCAGCTCACAACAGTGATACTATATTTTGAATATTTTAAATGACTGTTAATCTCTGCAATTTTCTGAAATTGATTTGCTGATTTAAGCGTTAACGTGTTCAGTTTGACCATTTGTCTGTCATACCTTAAATTAAATTGGAGACAACAGGCTGAATATTGAAGCTCGTCACATCATTTGTCAAACTCCTGTTGTCTTTCTCCAAAGTACAAAATGTAAAAATAGTGTTTTTACAGACCCCTATTTCCATCATTCAGACCATGGTTGTGTTCTGCTTTGGCTGCATGCCCATTGATTCATTTTCTCGTCAGTCTTGGGCTGTTCCCTGAATCATTTTGCAGAATCTCAACGAAAACATCGACTCTTGATAATTTTACCTGTAAATAAACTTGATTTCTGTTTGCTAATGGGGTTGCAGCTCATTAGCACTGGGGAATGTACTGGATCTGAGTGTGTCACGCTAAGTGACATTGGCAACAAGACGGTTATTTTCTCACACACTCGGCAGCTCCACGTTGCAGCCCATTGTAAATAAAAACCCACAGAATCACAGAAGTGTTCAGACAACAAGATATAAGAGCAGAATTAGGCCATTTGGCCCATCCAGTCTGCTCCACCATTCAATCATCACATGTTTGCCTTCATTGGTTAGTGCATTGATCATCGGAGTTGGGACATCATGTTACAGCTATATTAGATATTAGTGAGGCTTGTTTTGGCATACTGCATTCATTTCTGGTCTCCCTGCTGTAGGAAAGATATTGTTAAACTTGAAAGGGTTCAGAAAAGATTTACAAGGAAGTTGCTAGGGTTGGAGAGTTTAAGCTACAGGAGAGGCTGAATAACTGGGGCCTTTTTCCTTAGAGCATCGGAGGCTGAGGGATGACCTTATAGAGGTTTATAAAATCATGAGGGGCAAGGATAGGGTGAATAGTCAAAGTCTTTTCCCCAGGATAGGATAGTCCAAAACTAGAGGGCATAGGTTTAAGGTGAGAGGGGAAAGATTTAAATGGGGTCTGAGAGGAAACTGTTTCTTGCAGAGGGTGGTGTGTGTATGGAATGAGCTGCCAGAGGTAGATGGATGGGTACAATTTCAACATTTAAAAGGCATCTGGATGGGTATATGAATAGGAAGGATTTAGGGGATTATAGGCCAAATGCTGGCAAACGATACTTGATCAGTTTAGGATATCTGGTCAGCGCAGACTAGTCCGACTAAAGGGTCTGTTTCCGTGTTGTATGATTCTGTGACTCCATACGTTTCTCAAACCTATTATCTTGCCTTCTCCCCATAACCCTTAATCCCCTTACTAATCTCTATCTTAAAGACACTCAATGACTTGGCCTCCACAGCCTTCTGTGGTAATGAGTTCCTCTGGTTGAAGAAATGCCTCCTCTTCTCAGTTCTAAATGGTCATCCCTTCAATCTGAGGCTGCGTCCTCCGGTCATTGTCACTGTTACTAGTGGAAACATTTTCTCCACATCCATTCTATCCAGGCCTCCCGTATTCTGCAAATTTCAATCAGATCCACCCCTCATCCTTCTAAACTCCATCAGCTATAGACCCAGAGCACTCCTCCTCATCTCTGGACCCCCTCCAACACCAGTACATCCTTCTTTAGATATGGAGCCCAAAACTGCTCACAATATTCCAAATGCAATCTGACCAGAGCCTTCTAAAGCCTCAACAGTAGATCCCTGCTCTTGATTTCCAGCCCTCTTGAAATGAATGCTAACATTACATTTGCCCGCCTAACTGGGAATTGAACCTGTACATCAGTGCTAAGAGAATCTTGAACTAGGACTCCCAAGTTACTTTGTGCTTCAGATTTCTGAAGCCTTTCCCCATTTAGAAATTAGTCTATGCCTCTATTCTTCCTAACAAATATATTCCATCTGCCACTTCCTTGCCAACTTGCCTAGCCTGTCTAAGTCCTTCTGCAGCCTCCCCCTTCCTCAACATTACCTGTCCTTCCACCTCTCTTTGTGTCATCTGCAAACTTAGCAACAATGCCCTCAGTTGCTTCATCCAAATCATTAATGTGTATCATGAGTAGACCTCTGCGGAACTCCACTGGTCACTGGCTGCCATCCTGAAAAATATCCCTTTATCCGCGCTCCGTGCCTTCTGCCAGTCAGCCAATCCTCTATCCATGCCAGTACGTTGCCCCTAACACCATGGGCTATAATCTTATTCAGCAGTCTCCTGCGCAGCACCTTGTCAAAGGCCCTCTGCAAATACAAATAGATTATGTTCACTGGCTCTCCTTTGTCTGACTTGCTCGTTACCTCCTCAAAGAATTCATAGAATCCCTACAATGTGGAAGCAGGCCAATTGGTCCACTGAGTCCACACTGTCCCTCCAAAGAGGATTCCATCCAGACCAACCCCATCCCTGTAGCTCTGCATTTCCCATGGCTAATCCACCCAATCTGCACATCCCAGGAGACTAAGGGCAATTCAGCATGGCCAACCCACCTAACCAGCATATCTTTGAACTGTGGGAGGAAACCTGAGCACATGGAGTAAACCCATGCAGGCACGGGGAGAATATGCAAACTCCACAGACAGTCGCCCAAGGCTGGAATCAAACCCAGGTCACTGGCACTGTGAGGCAGCAGTGCTAATCACTGGGCTAACATGCAGATTCTAACGAATTTTTGGGCAAGACCTCCCCTTGATGAAGCCATGCTGACTCAGCCCTATTTTACCATGTACTGCCAAGTACTCTGCAATCTCATCCTTCATAATGGACTCTAAAATCTTACCAATAATGAAGGTCAGGCTAAGTGTCCTATAATTTCCTGCCTTCTGTGTCACTGCCTTCTTAAACAGGGGTGTTACATTAGCCATTTTCAGATCTTCTGGGATCCTCCAGGACTCCAGTGATTCCTGACAGCTCACCAATGCCTCTACAATCTCCTCAGCTATCTCCTTCAGAGCTCCGGGGTGTAGTCCATCCAGCCTTGGTGACTTATTCACCTTCAGACCTTTCAGTTTCCCCAGCACCTTCTCCTCACTGATGGCCACCAAACACACCTCTGCCCCGGACTCTCTTAAAGTTCTGGTACGCTGTTGGTGTCTTCCATTGAGTAACCTGATGCAAAGTACCTATTCAGTTTCTCTGCCATTTCTTTGTTCCCCATTACTACTTGTCCAGCCTCATTTTCCAATGGCCCAATTTCCACTCTAGCCTCTCTCTTATCTTTTATATGTCTAAAAAGTCTCTTGCATTCTTTTACATTACTAGCTAGCTTAACATCATACTTCATCAGCCCCCCCACCCCATTACTTTTTGAGTTATCTTCTGCTGGTTTTTAAAGGCAGCCAAGATGTGGAGGTGCTGGTGTTGGACGTGGGTGGACAAAATCAGAAGTCACCAGGTTATAATCCAACAGGTTTATTTGAAATCACAGGCTCTCAAAGTGCTGCTCCTTCATGACTTTTGATTGCTTGTGATTTCAAATAAACCTGTCGGTCTATAACCTGGTGTCGTGTGACTTCTGTTTCTTAAAGGCTTC